TGTGGGATTAACCTGAGGAAATAAACTGTAAAGAACCTGAAAGTCTCACTTGATTAAGACTCTCCCACAGTACCTGGGTTGAGGAACCCAGGAAAAACAGAAGAGGCCTCATGAGAAGACCAAAGAAAGAATCTTTGCTGGAAAAAGATTCTCTTTTTGCTTCAAAGCCCGAGAATAACAATACTGTGCTTCAATAGACAGGACATCCAGAGCATTAGCTTGAGACACGAACTCAGGGACAGATCCTCAAATTGCAGGACAGGGTATATCATTACCTGGTGGGGATGGTAGAGATCCCTAGGTGAGTTCTACTCTTGAGCCAAGTCGTAGCACCAGAAAACTGTCCAATAAACAACAAACCTGGACTTAGGGAAGGCAGAGACTTCATTCAAAAAAGTTATTGCAACTAGGGGAAGGGGCTTACTGCACTTGGGGGAGAGGGATTATAATAGGGAGACTGGTTTGATTGTAAGATCTTCAAGCTTCTGAAAGGTCAGGCAGTAAAAGTCTTTTCTTTTATAAGGAGGAGCCAACAAGGCTAGAAAAAACAGGTCTCAGGGGTAGGAATGAGCAGGTGCCAGGATCAGACAATTGGTCAAAAAAGGTTTCTTTGAAATCAGCTAGGAAGGGGTTTGTTGGTAGGGTCCATTAGGGGTGTATTCCTCATCCCACTGCTGGCTTAGGCTGAGGATGGATGAAAGCTCGAGGGTGTGGGGAAGGAGGGAAGCTTGAATAAAGTTTCATCAAGTAAAGCGAGCAGGCACTTTGTGCTGATTAGTCAGTGGGGCACAAATGGCCCAGCTAATCATTTCTGAGACACAAAAGGAATTTGGATGGTCTGTGTCTGACCTTGTCATAGATAACTCTCTGTGAGTCTCACCAAAGTCATTTGAGGAAAGGTGGTGGTTCTTTGCAGAAAGCTGTCTCCCGGAACACAAGGGAGTATGGGTGTGGGAGTTTCTTTAACCATCACTGCCTTCTGGGAGCACAGGTTTTGGGTCACATTCAATGTTCTCTTATTTGAGTATAATTTTAACTGTAGTTTTATTATGATATATTTTTTAAAAAGATTTATTTGAGAGAGAGAGAGTGGCGGGGGGTGGGTAGGAAGAATCCCAAGCAGACTCCCCGCTGAGCACAAGCACAACGAGGGCCTTGATCCCATGATCCCAAGATCATGACCTGAGCCGAAATCAAGAGTCGGACACTCAAAGGACTGAGCCACCCAGGCGCCCCTATGATATTTTTTAAAAATGTATAACAATCATATTAATCATCAATGTAACAGCTCCATTTATTACCACTTCCCTACATCTGTAATATGAGGATAGTTGATATTTATAATCATGAATTTGCTCCTTCTGCTAGTTATTAAGGTATGTCTAAGGTACTCGGTTCACTGAGGCTATGGCTCTGCATGTTTTCTGTTACGGTTTTGCCGACAGCAGGTGCTTGAGGAGACCGGGAGGCAGGAGAAAGGAAAAGGGACTTGCTCCTTGACATTTGCTTGCCGTGCCTGCCATTGTCAACAAGCAATGGTCCCCCCTCCCCCACCCTGCAGCAGTTGGTTCTGATTTCTAGTATTAATCCACCCTCTCAGATCCAGCCTCAACAGTTGCCTTCAAGAAATATCACAACCAGCTGGGTACCATCCCTTCCTTAGAGGCCAGAGTCCCAGCACCCCAGGGGCCTTCTAGCAGGCAGGCAGCTCTTAGTTTCCAATACTAGCTCCTTCTCTCCAACTCTCCCTGAGACAGCTGCTTCCTGTCCTTGCTACCTCCCCATTACTGCAATGTGTCCCTTTACGCCCGTTTAACCAACTCCCTCAATTCTCTGTAAAAATCTCTGCTGTGATACCTGTTTTCTGACAGGCCCCTGACAGATATGCCCTGAAGAGATCCAGAAAGACCTTGTGGACTACACGTGTAGATTTATGATAGGTTTATGTTATTGTCATTAAAAATAAGTAATCACATTTATGGGATACCCACCGTACCCCACTGACCAAAAAGACATTCTAAAAGTTAATTTACAAATCCACTGGTTGGATCTTGAAGTCAATCTTCCTATCAAGACAATATTACACATTAAACTGAGATGATCAAATCAATCCATCAATGCACATAATATACCTGAAGCACAATGTTGTACAAATTATGTTAGGGAACAGAACTAGCATTGCTTTGGCAACATATATTCAATGTTCCAACTATTAAGCCAGTAACAAATTTTATTCACCCTTTTATTTTTTTATTTGAATGTTTAAATCAATATATCCAAAATATGATCATTTCAACATATAATCAATATTTAAACATAGAGATATTTTATTTTTTTTTTATTTTTTATTTTTTTTTAAAGATTTTTTTTTTATTATTTATTTGAGAGAGAGAATGAGATAGAGAGAGCATGAGAGGGGGAAGGGCCAGAGGGAGAAGCAGACTCCCTGCTGAGCAGGGAGCCCGATGCGGGACTCCAGGATCATGACCTGAGCCGAAGG